CCCCCCCCCCCCGAAAAAAATAAATTAAGGTGAACATGTGTTTTATGTGCCAAAAAATTTTATTGACGCTAAACCACTTGCTATTGCATTGCCCTGAGGTAGCTGACCTGACTATGTTTTTGGCCATTTTTGGAATTAGCTGGACAACCACCCTCAACCTAAAACAAGCAGTTGAAAGTTGCAATTCATGAAAAGTGACAACCATCAACAAGATCTGGCAGATGATCCCAGCTTGCATTTTTTGGTGTTTATGGACAGAAAGAAACAAAACGTGTCATGATGGGACTTCAACTCCCAATTGCTCTCTTAGATCTAAGTGTTTGTTGAATCTTTATAGCTGGAGCAACCTTTCCCTTGTAAATGATATCATCTGATTCCTACCATGTTCAAGAATAGTCGCCATAATTTCCCAGTAATAGGACAATGAATGAATAAGTGACTGTTATTTTCCCTAGCAGCTCTGCATAAAAAGCATCTAGAACACAATTGAAATTCCCTTCTTTGAACTTTATCCTGTGAGAGGCAATCATTTCTTTCTACGAGCCAAGAAAAGCACACCACCTTAAAAGGAACTTTCACAATGTATTTTGTCCCGCCCTTGTTGAGAGGCTCTTGTGTACTCTCTTCACCAGGCAATGGACAAATAATCATACAGATTATGGGTTTCCTCACTATCATCACATAACAAATATGACGAGATTAGCTCCCAAGAGTATGGCCTAATGGTAGCAATGAATTGTAAGATTTGTAATATTCGATGAATATGAGAAGATTAAGGGTGAACATTGTTCATCTTGTAAGGATTAAATTATCCGATTAATTGATATTTGTTAGTCCTTTTAGGCTATACTTCTTACTATCTAACTAAGACAACTGGTCTACTATTCAATCTTTTCAATTTAAATTTATTCCCTATTATATAAACGGTATTCATCATGTTTGCTTATTTTTTGTTGTCAAGAATAAAGAAATACATTTCCTATTGTCAAGCAAAAACGATGATCGTAAGCTATGTCCTCCATCACGATCTCGGATGAAATATCCATGGAATTGTGTTCCGTGTAAAATGTATATCATCACTATTTTTAACCAAAGACTCATGTTAAGCTCCGTATCGAAACCTTGTGGTATTAGGAGTAAAGCATCCCGAGGTTGACGTATCTCATTGAGCATGGAGAAGCATTAGGAACCCTAATTCTTTTCGTCAGAGTTGTTTCTTTTTCCGTCCCCCGTCCTGACATAGCGTTTCCCTTCCACTTCTTCATTGATTTAGGTGATTATCAAAATGTGTATGGAGACTAGAGAAGAAGATTGCTTAAAGCAAATTTACATTTTGTAAGTGAAACATGTAATAATCAGTTGGATTAGAAGCAATTGCTTATGGATCCAATACACCAATTTTTGAACTTGGAGTGCCAAGATACATTATTACCTATCACATCACACAACATAGGGACCAAGAACTGGATGTACTCACATTACTTAACTGCTTGGACTCTTCATTTTCGGTGTTGCACCCATGTCGACATGATATGGGTGTGGGCTAAGTTGCACAGACTTTCTACTTTTGATGCTGCACCCGTGCTGGATTCTTCAAAAATACAATGTTTTTGTAGAAACCAACACGCATCCATTGAAATTTTTGAAGAGTCCGAGCAACATAGGATGCGAGTGTGAGATTGGTCAACTAATTTTGGATACTTGACCAAAATCAACGGAGGAATTCGAGATAGATACAATGATTTCTAGAATCAAAACAAAAGCTAAGGTGAAATTGAATAAAATGAGTTCCTTGTATATAGAAATTTCTATGTTAGAGCTTTTCCTTATATCTCCTTCTAGAAATCTTCTTTTTGATCAATAACTTTTCCTCATAATACCTTGTAAGATTTCCATTTAATGCCTCATAATTTGAAACTAAAACTCTACTTTAGATATTTGAATTACTTGAGCCAAATCCCACACCCGTATCTGTACTTATATCAATACCCCTAAATTTTAAAATTTAGATCATGAAAGATTAAACTTCTTGTAGGCTTTTCTAACATTGAAATTGTCTTGATTGTGATCCTGCCATCCCAACTATCCTGTGCATCAGTAGTTCCTTTGAACTGCCCCAAGACCTTGTAAAACTCCACCAACCTTTGGATCTCCCAGTCATTTAGAGGTCTTCTAAAACTGAGATTCCACCCTTGGTTTGACCACATCTCTGCCACAGTGGCCCTTTGTTGTTGGTTTAGGGTGAAGATATCCAGAAACAAGGTTTTTAAAGATCCTTGTTCTAGCCATCTATCTTCCCAAAAAGAGGTTTTCCTACCATTACCCAATTTAATACTGCAGTTTCATCTGGGCTTTGGCCAATGGTTTCTGACGGCTCTCCAAAGGCTTGATCCATAAGTGCTAGTGTCCATTTTAGTTATCCAGAGATCCTCCATTTCATATTTGGCCTATATTACATCTTTCCACAGAGCTACTTCATCATAAGGCACTGGTTTTGGATTTTTAAATTCCTTCTCCCCATCCATCCTGCCTGTTTACTCTCAATCAGAGTATCCCACTTAACCAAGTGGAATTTCTTGGTTACACTATTTCCTTCCCACGGGAAGTTCCTCTTCAAAGCACTAAATTTGTCAATAACACCATCAGGAATAGAGAAAAGCGACATCATATAGGTAGGCATAGAGTCCAAAATACTGTTGATGAGTGTTAATCTTCCTCCTAAAGAAAGGTATCGACTCTTCCAATTCACCAACCTTTTTTCAAATTTTTCAATCACCCCATTTCAGATGCCTATAGATTTGCTTTTGGCTCCCAAGGGCATCCCTAAGTACGTAGTTAGTAGATCTCTTGTCCTTCCGCCCAAAATCCTAGCCAGAGAGGGTAAATCAGGGACTTCATTTACTAGATAGAAGAAACTCTTGTTCTAATTAATGTGAACCAGAGTTAGCTTCAAAAAGAACAAAGATTACCTTTAAAATCTTGAGTTGGTTCCTGTTTGCATCACATAAGACAAGAGTGTCATCTGCATATTGTAAGTGAGTAATCTCAAGATCAGCTCCCACTCTACTGGATACCCTAAAACCTCTCAGCCACAACTTTTCTTGAGCAATTTTCAACATATCATTTAGCCCCTCCATAGCGATAATAAAAAGAAAGGGAGATGATGGGTCTCCTTGTCTTAAACCTCTCTGTGAAGAGAAGAAACTTGTAGGAGAGCTCATCCATCTTAACCATCTACCTCCAATGCCCCTTTTAGAAAGAGTCTCTAACAGGAACTTCCAATTGAGGTGGTCATAAGCTTTTTGAATGTCCAGTTTTGGGCTGCCATCAATAGAAAGCTATAGTGTAAACGGTAAAGGAGAATCCTAATAGGGAAAAGATACTATTTTTAATACACAATTTTATGAATGTATTAAAATTGTATGGGAACTCTCCGTATGTGAGTTGTTCCATACATCTCCGATTCCAAACCCGGATAAACAAGAAGATCCAAAGAGGGTTTTACTAGGTGGAGGACCAGTTAAAAATTCATCCCAAATGAATCCTTTGAATATTGGATTCAGGTCTGTATAGAGGTGAATTGATATATAACATTCATATAGCTGATTCAACTAGGCCATTTCCTTCTTTTCTTCGAGAAAAAGCATAAAAGAAGGGGGTAAGCTCATAAAACATGGTCTTATCTCTAGTTCATCTTATCGACTTGCCAGTGTTGGTAAGCTTTTATTGTGGGGTGAGAGGGAAACTCCGAGGCAGAGCCAGGATTTTAAGTTTGTGGGTCTGGGATTCTAGTCCTTCTAAGTTATTGGTTTCTGAATTAATAATTTGTACATAGTCAATGAATATTTTAACGCAAATCTAGGGTTTGGACCAAAGGTATTGGGTTCGGCCAAACCTGTAACCAAAACTTTAATTCCTCCCTTGGAGGGAGTTTCCATCGGTACTTAGATACTAGAAGGGCTTATACTATTTTAGTGGATGTTTTGGACATAAATATGTGAAATTCGTAAAAAAAAAAAAAAAAAAAAGTAGTATTTGAAAAAAAGTTGAAAAGTGGTAATTGGAAATTTAAGTTGTATTTGGACGTCAATACAACTTGGGAAAATGTCGATTTTTTATGAGTGGTTTGGAGTGAAAATGTGAAACCATGTATATTCTAACAATTCTATGTCCAAACATGATTCCGGAATACAATTTCAAGAAAAAGTGAAAATTATTCATGGCCAAACAGGCCCTTAAAAGACTTGGACGGGACAATGTTTGAAAGAATAGCTAAAGGGGAAACTTCAAGCTCTTAATTAGTTTAGGCGCTAACATTGCCTTTTTCTTTTGTGATGAATATCTCCTTCTTTCTTAAGTCTGCATGCGATATGATAGAAAATGTTTTCCATTGAAGTATTAGATTACTTGAATATTTACATGTGCATAGAATCATATCGTATATCATATATCATATATATATATATATAAAAGAGAACCTTAGGCCCGCCTACATGGCGCCACCACAAACCAGAATTCCCTGTAAAATTTATGTATTTCCAAAACAAGCCTTCCCTTTTCATGAGGAATTGCGACTTTTATGAGGAGTTGCGACTTTTATGAAGAGTTGCGACTTTTATGAAAAGTTGCGACTGTTATGAAAAGTTGTGACGTTTATGAAAGGTGGTGACCTTTCTGAAAGATTGTGACTTTTCCAAAGGTTTGTGACCT